AGCGTGAACAAGGCCTAAGAGAAGTTTATTTTTTGGCTTTACATACACTTTCATTGTTTTTGGAATCAAAATAATGTTGCTCAAAGGTGTTGAAAACTGACATTGTCAGAAAGTACTGAACAGTGGCCCAGCAAGAGCAGCCAGGCAACTAGCATTTTTAGAAGGAGAGGCCAACAAGTGGAAATTTCTCTTAGCGCAGGTTTCCCACTGCCTGTCCTGCTTCTATCAGAGAACTTGGCACAACTCGAAGTTCACAAGGAGCTTGTGTAAAAGGGAAAAAAAGGCAAAACAAACAGCCTTCTCCGGCTGTGCAGCAGCTCCCAGGGCTGGGAGGGGTGGCCTGTGGCCGGGTGGGAGGAGGAGATGGCTTATGAAAAGGTGTGACCCCCCCTCTCTCCTGCTAAGAGGTGACTGATCACTGTGTGCACTGTAATGTCTCAGCCATTGCACTCAGCACAGGACATGGAGAACTGACAGTCCAAACAGGTGAACTCAGTCTGCCTGCTGACCATGAACCTGGAAGGCTGCAGCCAGGAGCCCGGACAGTGTGAGCATCCTAACTTTTCTAGACTCATTATTTACTGTGCACGGCGTGATGGTTACTCATCCAATTGTAGGTTTTTACTTCTTTTTTTTTATGTGTTTTACAATCATGTTTATAAATTGTGCTCTGTTTGTTGTAGAATTGTTTAGAGTACACTTTTATTATTATTATGTTTTATTATTATTATTATTATTTTTATTTTATGATAGCACAGGATTTACAAAATAAAGGGAGCAATTTAAAATTCTAAAGTGTGTCTTGTAAAGCGTGGCACAAACTGTTTGCTTATATAAATCCTGTATAATATTAATAAAGAGAGACAGTACAATTACAATTAGAATCCAATACAAGAGGGATAGGAGGGCCTTGCTGAAAGAGCTTACAATCTAAAAGGGGGGGGGGCAAGTGATACAAAATGTAATAATGGTGATGGATGAGATGATGGAGAAGTTCAGCTTTTAGGTGAAGGCGCGATAGGCTTCTTTGAAGAGATACATTTTTAGGGATCACCTAAGTTCACACCTATGCAGGTACGACGGAGCGTGCGCATTGCGGCAATCCACAAATGTGAACCTAGCCGATCGCATGGTATAGAAGTACCATGCAATCCGGTTGCAGTGCGTTTTTTAGTGCATGCACTGCTTTTGGTGTGGTCCAGTGCAGGGGCGGACTGACAACTCATGGGGCCCCTGGGCAATAGGGGATCATGGGGCCCCTGTATCCTTGCCCAAACTCAAAAAAGCCTATGAAAAAGGTACCAGGGGCATCTCATGGGGCCCCCTACTGACCCCGGGCCCCCTACTGGCCCCCGGGCCCTCGGGCAGTGCTGAGTTTCCAAATGGTCAGTCCGCCCCTGGTCCAGTGTGATTCAGCCCATTCAAAATGAATGGGCTGAAATTGCACAACATTGCACTGCATGTGAATCGCACAGGAATGTACAGCGCATTCTTGGTGTAAACCTAGCCTCAAGATGGACAATCTATTATAAAACACATGGCCAATTCTGAGCCTAGGTTCACATTAGAATGCGGTATGGGAAACCCTCGATCCGTGTGTATTTGCCGCACCGCATTCAAATCACACTACCCTTGCGATCTGCGACGGGTGTCAGTGCAATCTTAATGAAACCCCATACACACATTGCAAATACAGTGCGTTTGGCTGCACCGGATGACAGGTTACAAAATGACCATGCAATCTGGTTGCAATGCGGCTTTGAAATTGGTGCATGCACGTCTTTGGTGCGATGCGATTTGAGCCCATTCATTCAAGTCATTTCCAGTCTATATGGCGCAGTTCTTCCCTTATGCTGGCCATACATGCATCAGATTTTATTGTGATTGGCCAGTCTCATCATTTTGGTTGATCTGATGTCTGAATTGGTCTTCCGATGCAACACAAACAGTAAACCGACTTGCATCACTTTGATCATTTTTAATGTCAAAAGTGTTTTTGCAAAAATATAATAAAAACATAACAAAAATGAAAGTGAACACTTTAGAAATGATCGCTTCCGCTCTATATATACCACAGGATTGTCTGGAAAATGATTGGATTTTCCCAACCTGTCTGAGCCCTTTTAAGCTATCCATACAGTATAAAATCTGTACAATCTCCTTTAGATCTACCAACAACTATGTAACGTAAGGGCCCATGAGAACACATAAAATTGATTGCATTGTATAGGTTGGTCCTTATAATATATAGATTTGGTAAATTTAAATTAAATTATACAAATGGTATAAAAATGTGGCTTAACTGCAAGATTTTATCACCCTCCAACAAGAAGTGTGAATGAGTCTGTTGCACTTTGTGTTGTTACAAAGCAGGGCACTGTTTACTTTTTTTTTTTTTTTACATGTTTCAAAATGATTTGCGACATGCTGCGATGACATGCAGTGCGGTTGTGTAGTGCAGCATGTCTTCGCTTTTTATGCAATGCACCACAACCCGCCTCAACACAGCATTGTGATGTGAATGAGGCTCATGTAAAGCAATTGTTTTCTAGGTGCCCTTGCCTTGAGCCTGCGTTGATCTCTGCAGATTGACACAGCTCAACAAACATTATGCGAATGAGCCCTTATTCTTATGTCTAAAAAATGGCTTAGGGGTTATTAGTGGTTGGAGGGTGGTAAAATAACACGGTTGAGCTTTGTTTTTATCACTTCTCAACCTCTCCCTGTTTAGCTGAAAGAAGACTTGACAGGGGTGCACACATGCCGTGGCCGCCATGCTCTGCTTTGTGGCCGCAGCAGGAATTATACCTCCGTTTCGTTTGGCGGGCACTACCACCCGCCAAATGCAATCCATTCAAGTTATTGGGCCATGCTGCAACTGGTACACAACGGTGCAGCTGCGGTGCGGCTGTTTGACATTTAGGGGTTCAAACAGATGGTGAAGATTCAGTGGGGTTGATTTACTAAATGCAAATAGACTATGTACTTTGCAAAGTGCAGTTGCCCTCTGCAAGAGCTTGTGCAAGCAAAAGTGCTTTTTTTCAATTTTCCTTGCACATGATTGGGTATTCCTTGCAAAGTGAATCTTTATGTCATTTACAAAACTCTGCACGTGCAGAGAACAACTGCACCTTGTATGGTGCACACAGTGGTGTATTTAGGCTTTGTGCTGCCCTAGGCAACACTAAAATCGGAGCCCCCCCCCCCCAGGGAGAAAGCCTGACACCAACCAACACCCCCCCCCCCACCCAAGAGAGCCTTCCACTACCACCACCCTCCATACACCAGTCATTCCCCCCCAGAGAAAGAATGACACTCACCTTCACAGCTCCAGATATCCCCTAGAATGAGACTCAGGCTCTGCATACACCGTCAACCAAGGAGCCCGCAGCCTCTCTCGGATCCCACTTGGTCCCCATGCACCGTGTGTCCCTTCTTCCATCTCTTCTTCCAGTGGGCAGTGCTGCCCCCTGAAAAATGCCGCCCTAAGCAAATGCCTTGTTTGCCTTGTGGTAAATACACCCCTGGGTGCAAAGTCTATTTGCCTTTAGTAAATCAACCCCAATGTCCCCTTGCTGCCTGTCAAATGTTTTCTGAAGAACAATCTGAACGCTGTATGCCCTTCAGAGAGCAACACAAGTGTAAATGAGTCCTTAGGCTCCATGCACACTGAGCGTTGTAATAACGCTGGCAGCGTTAGCTGTTTAAAGTCACATTAAAAATGTGAGTTTTTCAGCATTTTAGAATTAGCGTTTATCCGCATTTTTTTTCCTTGTTCGCTTTTTTAGCTGTTTTTACAAATAAAGAACAATCTGAATGCTGTATGCCCTTCAGAGAGCAACACAAGTGTAAACGAAGCCTTAGGCTCCATGCACACGGGGCGTTTTAGTAACGCTGGTTGCGTAAGCTATATAAAGTCACATTAAAAACATGAGTTTTTCAGTATTTGGCATTAGCGTTTAGCCACGTTTTTTCCTTGTAGGCTTTTTTAGCGTTTTTTTACAAAAAAAGAACAATCTGAACGCTGTATGCCCTTCATAGAGCAACACAAGTGTAAACGAAGCCTTAGGCTCCATGCACACGAGGCATTTTAATAACGCTGGTTGCGTAAGCTGTATAAAGTCACATTAAAAACATGTGTTTTTCAGTATTTGGCATTAGCGTTCAGCCGCGTTTTTTCCTTGTTCGCTTTTTTAGCGTTTCTTACAAAAAAAATTTTTTTCTCTCAAAAAAAGTTGGCGTTTTGCTGCGTTTTACCATATTTTTCCAGCTAAAAAACTCCTCTAGAAGCCCACTAGTTCTGGGTCTTTTTCCAGCTAAAAAGCGCCCCTGCCCAAAAAACGCTTATTACAGCCTATGTGTGCATGGACACATAGGATAACATGCTGGGGAGTTTACTGGCTGTAGAAAAAAAAAAGGTCAAAAGCCAAAAACAGCCGCTGTAAAAAAACGTCCCGTGTGCATGAGGGCTAAAAATGAAAGGTAGAGAGTTGAGTTGTCATTGTGTCAGAGGTGCCCCTTCCCTGTGTAATCAGCCATGGGGGCTCTGATGACTCTGTTGTTGAGGGAACAGCATCCATAACATAAAGTCTATAGTATATGATGGGACTTGTAATAAAGAAATGACAGCTGGGCGCAGTGTACGCCAGGACAAGAAGATGATGGTTCATGTCAATCCCGTCTCGCATAGCAGTCGTATGTGTTTTTAGCAGTATGTGTATACATTCCTAAGTACCTCATGCTTTCTTGTGCAAACACTGCACATTACACGTTTTCCTCTCAGCCGTATCGACCTGCACTGCAATGTCCTCGGCTGCGATTGTTGTCCTTCATAATGTCGGGATTGTTGGTTTATTTCACAATGTGTCAGCGCTAGTAATATTGATCTGCTTGTAATAATGTCCACTACCGAGGACTATGCTGATTATTCAGAACCAACAATGACATACATTTAACCATAGTGTCCTTTCTGCAATTACAGTTATGATTTCTGGAGCAGATTGAGGGCCAGTTCACACTACATGCGTTTCCGTTGCTTTTTTTCTGCATCCAAAATGCACAGAAAGTAGGTTATATGGTTGTCAATGTCATAGTTTACACCAGTGCTTGCAGTTCCACTGCGTTCCAGATGCATAAAAAAAGTAGAACATGCTGCATTTTTTCTGCACAGAACTGTACTGGAATGCAGGTAAGGGCCAGTTCACACTACATGTGTTTCAGTTGTTTTTTTTCTGCATCCAAAATGAACAGAAAGTAGGTTATATGGTTGTCAATGTCATAGTTCACACATCAGTGCTTGCAGTTCCAGTGCATTCCGGATGCATAAAAAAAGTAGAACATGCTGCATTTTTTTCTGCACAGAACTGTACTGGAATGCAGTAAGGGACAGTTCACACTACATGAGTTTCAGGTGGTTTTTTTCTGCATCCAAAATGCGCAGAAAGTAGGTTACATGGTTGTCAATGTCATAGTTCACACCAGTGCTTGCAGTTCCAGTGCGTTCCGGGTTGCAGAAAAAAAAAAAACATGCTGAATTTTTTTCTGCACAGAACTGTACTGGAATGCAGTAAGAGCCAGTTCACACTACATGCGTTTTCAGTTGTTTTTTTTTCTGCATTCAAAACGCGCAGAAAGTAGGTTATATGGTTGTCAATGTCATAGTTCACACACAGTGCTTGCAGTTCCAGTGCATTCCGGATGCAAAAAAAAGTAGAACATGCTGCATTTTTTTCTGCACAGAACTGTACTGGAATGCAGTAAGGGCCAGTTCACACTACATGTGTTTCAGTTGTTTTTTTTCTGCATCCAAAATGCGCAGAAAGTAGGTTATATGGTTGTCAATGTCATAGTTCACACCAGTGCTTGCAGTTCCACTGCGTTCCGGTTGCAGAAAAAAAAAGTAGAACATGCTGCATTTTTTCTGCACAGAACTGTACTGGACTGTGGTAAGAGTCAGTTCACACTACATGCGTTTCAGTTACTTTTTTTCTGCATCCAAAATGCGCAGAAAAGTAGGTTATATGGTTGTCAATGTCATAGTTCACACCAGTGCTTGCAGTTCCAGTTGCAGAAAAAAAAAGTAGAACATTTTGCATTTTTTTCTGCACAGAACTGTACTGGAACTCGGCAAAACCCATCAAAAACGCTTTGAAACGCACCAAAATGCACCAAAAACGCACATGTCCCTATTTAATTTGAAGAAAAAGAGAGGGAAAAAATGAACTGGATTGCATTAAAAGCACACTGGAATGCGTCAAAAACGCATCACAAACGTGCATGCAAAAACACATCCAGAACGCATGTGGACTGCATTTCTATAGTGTGAACTGGCCCTAAAATGCATAAAAAATGCACTGGAACGCACCAAAACACACCAAAAACGCACTGGAACACACATGTTCCTTTTTAAATTGAAGAAAAAGAGAGAGAAAAAAATGAACTGGAACGTATATAGAAAAATGAACTGGAACACAACAAAAATGTGCATGCAAAAATGCATCCGGAACGCATCTGGACTGCGTTTCTTTAGTGTGAACTGGCCCTAAGGGCTAGCTTACATTAGATGCAGTTCAGTGTGCTTCTTTTTCTGGATCAAAAATGCATTCACAGTGTTTTCCATGTATTCCAATGGCCCTGGTTCACACCAGTGCAGTCAGTTCCAGTCAGTTTCCGGTGCAGAAAAAAAAGTAGAACGTTCTGCATTTTTCTGTACAGAACCATACTGGAACATAGCAAACTGCATCAAAACTGCACCAGAACTGTGTGTGGTGTGAAATGTAAGCAAGAACGTATCCAGAGTGCGTTTTTGTAGTGTGAACTGACCCTAAGGCTAGCTTCACAGCAGCCTTCACGGTAAAATGCAGCGTTTAAGACTCCCTGCAAACAGGACATTTGCTAACTCATCTAGATGCCTTCCTTTCTGGCAGATATACGTTACACGTTTAAACATGTGTAAGCGTGTGTAAACGCTAGGCGTGTTTAGTGCTTGAACATTAACTCATTTTAATAACCAGAATAAATTATTATTCTGGCCAATGAAATGAATTAACACCCAAGCACATGACGCACCCAACCACTTGCCCTCCAGAGGATTTATCCCCCTTCCAGACAGGCCCTTTTTTACGATAAGGCGTTGCGTTGCTTTAACTGACAATTGCGCGGTCATGCAACACTGCACAAAAAATTAAATCTGTGTCATTTTTCCCCCACAAATAGAGCTTTCTTTCATGGTATTTGATCACCTGTGTTTTTTTTATTTTTTGTGCGATAAAAAAAAAAAAGACAACACTTTCGAAAAAAACCCCAATATTTTTGACCTTTTGCTATTAAACATGTCCAGTAAAGAAATTTTAAAAATCAAATTTCTTCATAAATTTAGGCCAAAATGTATTCTGCTACATGTCTTGGCTAAGAAAGAAATCCCAATGTGTGTAAATTAATTGGTTTACGTGAAAGTTAAAGCGTCTATAAATGGCGATATATATATTGGAATTTTTATTTTCATTATACTAATAATGGTGGCGGGCAGCACAGTGGCTTAGTGGTTAGCACTTCTGCCTTGCAGTAATTGGGTTATGGGTTCAATTCCCAACCATGGAGCCTCTTGCATGGAGTTTGCATGTTCTGCGTGGGTTTCCCCTGGGAACTCTGGTTTCCTCCCACACTCCAAAGACTTGCTGGTAGGTTAATTGGCTCTTGTCTAAATTGTCCTAGTTTCATCCCTGGCCATGCGGGATTTCCTGCAGGGTAGAGGTTGGGGAAAGACCTGGCAACCTACCCTGTAAAATAATTGCTAAGAGAATTCATGGAAAAAATCGCTTACGAGTGACGATCCATGCAATTGCCAAGGGTCGGATACGACTGAATGGATAGATAGAATAATGGCAGCAATCAGCGACTTATAGCGGGACTGCAGCGGGCATTCTGACACTGCATGGGAACTGACTGCCACTGACATCCCAATGACACTAATACAGTGATCGGTGCTAATAAAAAGCACTGACACTGTACTATTGGCACGGGGCAGGAAGAGGTTAACATCTGGGTTGATCAAAGGGTTAACTGTGTGCTGTTTTACATCATGTGCTGTGTGTGTTTTACTATGGAGACAAGTTGTGTAGAGAAATACACAGCAGCATGTTCTTGCTGCTGGACAGAGACCTGTCTCTCACCTGTCAGTTCCACATGGAGATCGCCAGGTGGTGGCGGGGAATCTCTAGCTGGGACCCAGTGACTGACATCCGTAGCCGCCAACATCGGCGCGGGTAGGGTGACGCACACGCGCGTGTGCGCCCATTACCCAGAAATGCGAATCACGTATATATACTTTTGTGCAGCTCTGCCGCCCTGTAGCAGTAGTTCTACTATAGGACGGTGGGGAAAGCGGCAAAACGTGCCTAAACGCGCGTTTACAAGCATCAAGCATTTTTTTCTGCCAAAGCGCCACCACTCCTGGATGCACTGGCCGTTGGGGTTTTTTCTGCCTCTACACTCCTCTAAAAGCCCATGTGTGCATGGTCACATAGGCTAACATGCAGGTGCGTTTAGATCAGGGCTTGACAAATTCCGGCCACCAGACCGCCACGGGGACCAGAAATCGCATTCTGGCGGCTCCAGACAGCCCATCCAACGCTAGCATCAAGCGTGAGCAACTCCTCGGGCAGCCGCCCACTGAGCGCACGTTCACTCCTCCATTGGCCAGTGACCTTGTGTTGGGGAGCGGTGATTGGACAGCCTGTCAGCCCCTCCTACTGGCTAAGTTAGGTATGGCTAGTTAGTGTTAACTAGGAGATGATAACACGCTAAACTAGAAATACGTTGCACAGTTAGTTGTGATTTAAACCAGAATCCCAGTGTTTGTGCTACTGTAATGCATTATAGATTTTTGTCACTCTGATTGTTTTGCTGCTTGTTTTACTTGGCACGGTATCTATTGTACAATGAAACACTATCAGATATTTATTGGCTTTATGTAAACATTAAAGCGATATCAGGGGCGGACTGACAACTCATGGGGCCTCCGGGCAATAGGGGATCATGGGGCCCCTATGTCCTCCCCCACACTCAAAAAAAGCCTATAAAAGGGCATTCTTATGGGGCCCCCTACTGACCCCGGGCCCTCGGTCAGAGCTCGAGTTTCCAAATGGCCAGTCCGCCCCTGAGCGGTATTGAAACCCAAAACCAAAAATGTAATATATTGCAGCTTACCAATCCGTGGATGTGGTGGCTGCTGTACTTTTCTTTTTTAAGGCTCTATTTTCACCTGAGTATTCGGCCAGTATCACACCTCCTGTATCAGAGTGCCCCAACTCTGGACGAAGGAGCAAGAGAGACACTTTTGGACAGCAGAATTGTTAATCTGGGGGGAGAGAGGTGTTAGGTGCACTAGAAGATTTAGATATACAAAAAAATTGAAGCCAAACTTCAGCTAACACTTTATAAGCAGTTACAGCAACAGTCTTTTTTTTCTTTTTTGGATAAAGACTTACCATAAAGGAGTAAAAGTGGATTGTTGTAAACACCCGCCAGTGGTAAAGAGGTTGTTTCAAATCTGTAAGGCTAGGTTCACACCTATGCAGTTTGCGTTTGAGCCATTTCTACATTTGCGTTTTTGCACTTGCACTTTTGCCGCATTTTTGATGTTTTGCAGAGTTTTTTTTTATTTTTTAAGATTTTTCTTCTTGCTAGGCAGATTTAAAAAGCAAAATGCATCAAAAAACCCAATACATGCTTTTCTGCAGAATTTCCATTGAAGTCGATAGAAACAAAAACAAAACTTTTTTGCGTTCAAAAAAGTCCCTGACCCTTTCCAAAAAACGCACCAGGTGAAAACGCACAGGTGTGAACATGTCCCATAGGAAATCATGTTAAATGGACTGTACTGCGTTTCTGCAAAACGCTGCAGAAAACGCTTAGGTGTGAACCTAGGGTAACTGCTATATCTGCAGGACAGCTTGTTCAGTTGAAAAACAACAAACATAGTGGCTGGATCATTAGGTAAAAATAAAGAAAGCCAAAATAAGAAAACTAATGCAGTCACCACATCTAGAAATTGGTAATCTGCAATATCATAAATGTTTTCTTTTGGGTTTAATACCGCTTTAATCCAAAATTGCATGCTTTTGTTGCACCATTTGTAAATGTACATCACTGGAAACCGGAAGTCCAGCCCAACGCGTTTCACCTCTCCCACTGAATGCCCTCAGGAACATGACTAGTGTTCCCACTGTTAGACTTCCCCTATATTCCTGTTCTGATGACAATACAAAATTTGGGATTTCATTTCATTTTCACTTTTGGTGATAATGGTGACAAACAGAGAAAGTGAATCTCCCTAATGAGGGGACAGCCAGCAAAAAAAGCCTGGCAGGTGTCCTCTCTACTCCTATCCTATCCAATAATAAAGAAAAAAATGTTTTGCATTTAGTTATAATTTAACCAATTCCCAACCGCCCTATAGCAGATCTACTGCTACAGGGCTGCAGGGCTGGGCAAAATCAGGTATATATACGTGATTTTGTAGTTCCCCATGCCGCCATTGGGGGCTACAGCTGTTTATTACTGGGTCCTGGCCAGAGATTCTCCACCGGCACCTGGTGATCGTCGAGGAACACTGACAGGGGAGAGGTCTACATGTAATCAATACAGATCTCTCCCGTGTCAGCATGTTCTACAGAGCAATACAAAGCAGCGTGCTTACGCAGTAAAACAGCACACAGTTAACCCTTTGATCGCTCCACATGTTAACCCCTTCCTGCCCAGTGTTATTAGTACAGTGTCAGTCCATTTTATTAGCAATGATCACTGTATTAGTGTCACTGGGGATGTCAGTGACAGTTAGTCAGTTCCCCCCCAGTGTCAGAATGCCCGCCGCAGTCTCGTCTCTGATCGCTGCCATTACTAGTATACAAAAAAAGATTCCAGTACACAGTATATACCGTCATTTGTAAACACTATAACTTTCACGTAAACCAATTAATTTACACGTATTGGGATTTTTTTTAGGAAAGACATGTAGCAGAATACATTTTGGCCAAAATGTATCACTTTTTTTTTTTTTTAGCAAGAAGTAAAAAAAAATATTTTTTTTTCTCAAAACTGTAGGTCTATTTTGTCTATAGAGCACAAAATAAAAAACACAGAAGCAATTAAATACCACCGAAAAAAAAAAACTCCATTTGAGGGAAAAAAAGGACATAAATTTCATTTGAGTACAGCGTTTTATGAC